ATGGTGTACAAATGCGCGAAGGTGACAAAGGTGACAAGGTAGGTAAGTTAGTGACGGAGTTGGCTAGAGAACCAAAGTACGGAGTACCGGGTAGGTAGTAGTCGCTCGTATGTAAGTAAATGGCTGGTGGGTAAGGTAGTGCGTAGTGCGTAGGTAGTGGATGGTGGGTTTGGTGGGCGTCCAGCAGAGCAGGGATCATGTCACTTGGGAAAAGGTGTGTGGGCAGTGGGCACTTGGGTAAACAACACCAAAAAAAATATTTATGGGCTTTTGGGGGGAGAGTGGGTTGTGGATACAATGAGGGATGGAGGGGATCGACAGGGCTTTAACTCCCAAGTTAACCGAGTACGAGGACGAGATGACCCATACAGCCAGAGTAGGACAAGCACAGGTATGGACAAGACAAGGTCAAGAGTTGTGTTTATATTTGCATTTGCACTGCCTGCGAGAAAAGAGAGAGAGACGGCGAGAGGGACGGAGAAAAAGAGAGAGAAGGGCAGGGGAGACCCACTATCCATGATACGTCGCCATCACTCTCTCACTCTCTGTGTCGGCACGTACGCTTTACTCATGATTATTATCTCACAAGGACTTTGTTGGTTACTTACCACGAGCGAGGTACGAATAATTAACTCGGTTCCTGTACAAGTACGAGAAAAGACAAACGCGGCTCGGGGAGTGCATAACCGAGGATGGCACGGATGGATACCACCTTGACCACCAAGCAAGGGGGGGGGAGAGGATGGGACGCGGGTACCTAAGCAACTAGGGTGGTGGTGTGGATGTGTGAGATCACTTTCCAACTACGGGCTAGACATTCAAAACTACTTGGTAGAGTGGGAATACCGAGTCCTCCGTGGCTGTTGTACGTAAAGAAACCTGCCCTCGCTAGGTGCTCGCTAGGGCAGAGACCACACACCCAACACAGTGGCTCAGAGGAACCCATACCCATGCCCATGCCTGTGCCCTACCCTTGCAAGGAGAGATAAACTATGGCTCGTTACGGAAGTCGGATGCTGGCAGCAGCGGGATGGGGCATTTGTTACTCTTCGTACACTAAATGTCTTCGGGGTATGAGGTACAGAGTAAGTTCTACGAGTACTCGGTCCCGAGTAAGGTCAAATAATCAGGGGGATGATCCCGCTGATGGCTAGGTATGAATGAGTACGAGGTACTCCGTATGAGTAACGCTGTCACTGCGCTGAATACCTGGTACATACCTACCGAGGTCGAGGTATCGGCCTTACACGTAGACAAGCGCGTGTACAATACATTACGCGCATGCATACGAGGACTCCGCATGTGCTCTGCTCGAGGGTACCTACATACTCGTAGGGCTGGTGGGCTTACGAGTACCTACAGTAGGTCAATAGGATCACTGGTCTGGTGGAGATAGATGCATGGCCACGGGGGGATGGATTTGCAGGCAGGCAAGGCCATGATGGGTGCGTGCGAGCATATACCTACAGTACAGACTCTCTCCTCCTCCTTCTGATGTACTGTAGGAACAAGGAGCCATGTGCAGAGGGATTTTGTAGCTTGAAAGTGACCAAGTAAAAGTCCCCAAAGGATCAATTGGGTAGTAGGTAGGTAAGGGGAAGAGAGACCGGGATACATTCCTGGGTGCATACATACATACGTACAAGGTAAAAGGTATTCGGTACAGACGTCTAAATGTACTCGTATATACCAGATGCAAGAAAAAAGGGGTATGTGTACAGTAAGGTACAGTATGTGAGCACTACGTCTAATCCTCCCGTTGGGATGGAGAGCCTTACTACCTGGGCGGCAAGGTACTTTTGGGCTTGAATGGAGATAGATGGGCATGGGAGAGAGAATGTAGTTAGGCATGCACGCGTGGTAGGTATGTAGCACTCGACCAGTATAACGAGGTACTTAGTACCCTCTCTGCACACCATCCATAACCTGCCTCTCCTCGCTACACACCCCCCTTTTCCACCAGCCCGAGAGCGTAGCATATTCATTCCCATATCGAGATCACATCGCAGTTGCAAGAGCATCTTTCGAACAAGTCAGGCCCTCATCGAGACACGATTCTCTCAGACATCTCCACGTCCATCCTTCACGGCGCATTTCTCCTCTGCTTCATGTCTTTTTCAGTCATCTCTTGCATCTCTAGCTGGATCGAATGGCTTCCCGAGTTGGAAGGAGAGAGGATGTATACCCGACGTCGATGTGGCGCTGCATCTCATTTTATGCTGGTGGTCGGGGTTCGTGTCTCGGGGCCACTTGGGGAAGTGTACACCTCTAGAAGAAAGATCTCCAAGGCCAGGAGATGTAGTTCATCCGCATCGTGACGGGGCACATGTTGGTGGTTGATCTCGGGATGGAGAATTCATTTCATCCGGCGACGCGGAGACTTTTCTCCTGCTTCCATCTTCGCAGATGTCAGATGTGTAGTTACGTGGGCACGTAGGAGATCTCGATCTGGTGACGCGTTGATTCCTGCTAATATCAAAGAGCGAGACTCATCGAGAGTCAGAGTGGTGCTGATAAAGATGAATGTGATCCATTTGACTTGTTGAAGATGATGTCCTGAGATTTCCTGGCGACAAATTCACCAGCAATTTCACCTCTCAACCCGCATTGTCCATCATACCAAGACCAGAACGACGAGGTCCAAAATGGCCGCGACGCATCCTCCGTCTTCAATCCTTCTGCGAGGCGGCACCATCCTAACACATGGTGACAAGGACCATGTGGTTCCCCTGTGGGTTACTGACCTCCTGGTCCGCAACGGTGTCATCACCGACATTGGAAAGAATATTTCCCCTCCTAGCAGCGACACAGAAGTGATTGACTGCAAGGGTAAAATCATCTCTCCCGGCTTCGTCGACACCCACCACCATCTCTGGCAGACCCAACTGAAGGGAAGACACGCGGAGCAAGGGTTGGTCTCATACATGTACACCGGTAGGGTCCATTTCCACAAACTTAGTTCAAATCAGTGGCAATGGTTCTGTGCGGCAGGTTCTGTTGACCACTGCAACACTAGGCAATATGATGTCCTATGCATATTCTCCCGACGACATGTACTGGGGCCAATTGTCGGGCTGTCTCGAGGCCATCCACGCCGGGACTACGACTGTCCTGGACCACGCCCATTGTGCCTACAGCCCTGCCCACGGTGAGTCCCATAGCCACGCTGGTTATCGTTTACAGAGGCTCAACCGTCTAAAATAGCCGCTTCGGCTCTCAACGCAACCATCGACTCCGGCATCCGGGGTATCTTCGCGTACAGCATTCCCATGCGCATATCCAAATGGGACCAGTCGCAGTGCACCCCAGACCAAGACCTCCTTCCGGAGTGGGCACTCAAGCAGATTGCGGAACTGGCTCAGACACACAATCAGCCTGGTGCAGTGGTCGAGATTGGCATGGGGTTCGACTTCTGGTTCCTGCCGCAAGAGATGGTTCTGGGCATGCTCGCGAAATTGAGGCAAAGCGGACTAAGAGTCCTGACCAGCCATGCTGGTTGTAACGCCTTTATGGGTGAGTCTTGCTTGCCCGTGTTTCGGATTGAGCGGGCATCAAAGCCCAGAGAGATCTCTGGATGAGGGTTTTCTTCGAAGCTCCTCGCGCTGTTGTAGAAAGCTGACCTATCCTGACCCTGCAGGTCTTCAATCACCCGTACCCAAATTTCAATCCTACAAACTCCTCGGCGCCCCCTACCCACCACCAGAAACCGCACGGGAGATGCCTTTCCTTCTCCTCTCGCACTGCAACGGTCTCCCGCAGGAGGACCTATCCATCCTCGCATCAACCGGCACCCCAATCTCCAGCACACCGGGCACCGAGGCCCAGATGGGCATGTCCTACCCCGTCGCCCTGGACCCGGCGCTGCGAAACCAGTATGGCAACACAGCCAACGTCTCGCTCGGGGTCGACTGCCACTCGAGCGAGCCGTCGTCCATGCCCCAGCAAGCGCGCATGCTGCTGCAGCTGGCGCGGGTGGAGAAGAACGCCCGCCTCCTCGCCAAGGGGCAGTTCCCGTCCGGCGACGTCACGGGCACGTCCGAGGACGTGTTCAACCTGGCGACGATCCGCGGGGCGCGCTGTCTCGGCCTCGACGCGGACGTTGGCAGCATCGCGCCGGGCAAAAAGGCCGATCTGCTCGTCTTCAACGCCTCCGCGAGCGTGGGCATGTTGAGCGCGGCCGAATACGACCCCGTCGTCGCGATCGTGCGGTTCAGCGAGGCCGCAGATATCGACACCGTCATCGTCGACGGCGTCGTGCGCAAGAGGGCCGGGAAACTGCTGGTTACCCCCGTCGGCAGGCACGTCACTGCCAGTCAAGCAAATATCCGTGGAACGGCAGCAGGAGAAGCAGTATCAGAAGCGGCTACGGTTCATTTGGAGTGGACCGAGATAGCCGACCGGGTCAGACGCAGCCAGAGAGAAATCCAGTCCCGAATCGACGGGCTCAGCCTCGACAAGGCAAGGGACATGATGCTGAGTGCCTACCACACGGACCTGAGCAGGCTGGTGGATGCCAGGTAGGTAGGTAGGTAGGTACCAAAGAACGGTATACGAGGGGAAGGAATTCATATAATACGAGTTTGGGAGAGTGTGGAGCGTGGAGCGTGGTCGAGCTACATAAGCATTAACCTGCCTTACAAGCTACCTAGCTAGTTAGTTCAAGCTCCCTTGGATGACTTCAAGTGGCTACCATTACCATTCCCATTCCCACAGGTAGAAAGAAGTGTTCATATCGACGCTCCGAGTCCTGAGTCCTGAGCCCTCGTGTTCCTGTTCCTGCAGCGTGACTGAGTGTGTCTGTTCCATTGCCAATTGTGCATTGATCATTGTTCATTCCATGCCCCCAACACGTATTTCTCCCGAGATGCCCTACTGAACCTGTCAACGGTTGGTCGAGGGACGTCGCAATCAAAAGAGCTATGAAAGTCATTGTCATCCATCATATTTGATTTGGTGTAGTTTTCGTTACGACGTGTCATTCATTCATTTCGCCATCACTTTCACTTGCGTCTATCCGGAAGCGTCGCCGTCTGCGGCATCTCCCCAGGGACGACGCCTCGGAGGCGGATGCTGGCTCGCACGGTGGCGCCGTTGCCCATGTCGAATTTCTGCTGCAGCGTCTTGTCGGGGGCGTCGGCCACGGTGGCAAAGGGGATGTCGACGGCGCCAATCTCCTTGGTGCCGTCGAGCAGCGCGATGCGGAAGTTGTCCGGGCTGCTGCCCACCAGGTCGGTGGTAATGGGGAGTCGGAACGCCTGGTCAAAGGCCGGGTTGTTGATGTCGGTGCCGGGCGCGTCGGTCTTGACGGCGGTCTGGAAGCGTTGCGTCTGGCCCCACGTCACCACGACGCTGGGTTTCAGGTCCTCGCGCCGGCCTGGAATGCCATAGGCCCCGGCCACCAGGATTGTCGCAATGCCCGAGAGCCGGCCGTCGCCTTTGTGGTCCGACGCGGTCAGGCTGCCGGCGTCGGCCACGTACTTGAAGAACTGGCAGGAGATGGACACCCTGCCGTCGGTTTCCTGGCCCTTGTGCACAAGCGGTAGTTCCTGGCTGCCTCCGGCTAACAGAATCTCGCGGACCGTGGTCACGGCAAGACCGACTTCGTCGTCTCCGTTGAGGTCTTCATCGAGCACGTCCACCTTGATGCACTGGTCGAAATCACTCACGACAAAGTCATGCGTCTCGTTCCACGACGGCCTGTTGGTGTTGTTCTTGGTGGCAGTCTTCCACGCTTCCTCGCCCCCGACCTCGACCTTGGCGTAGCAGTCTGGAGCGGCACCGGTCAACTTGTTGAACAACTTTTTCGTGGATGACTTGGCCTCCTCTCCGAAGCCCCACGCCTTCTCCACGGTCACTCGCACCATCCCGAGTGGGTAGTGGTACGTTTTGAAGTAGTCGGCATTGGCGTCAAGCTTGACCAGGAATCGATTGGGGAGGGTGAACATGGAGTTGATGATGCCGAGAATCACCTTCCGGACCGTGTCATCAATGATGGAGAAATCGGCCACGTTGGCAGCGCCTGTGAAATCAAGCTTGAGAACTGGTGGGTTGATGAATGATATCTGGGCGGCTCCGATCTGTATCCAATGTCAATAGGGAGCACGCCAGATGGGCAGAAGAATGTGCGTACCAGTGGTATGACGTTTGTTAGAGGGCATAGAAGAATAGAAAGCCTTCCATGCAGCTGTACGCTTTCGACGCCCTGCAAGACGAATCAATGGACTGCGCCAGGCTAGCACAAGATACACTACTCACGAGGGCAGGGATCATGTCTGCATCCATTTCGATGTCGGCTTTGCCAACCCAGTCGACGTTCAGATCGAGTTTGATGCCATCCACCTCTGTCTTTGTCGTCTTTGCATTCGACAGTCGTAGAGGTTCAGGGCCGAGATCGATCTTGGTGAAGTGCAGGGTGGCCAGCGGGCCAGGGAGCATCGTCTTGAACATGGGCTCGACGATCTCCTTGACCATTTTGCTACCGGCTGCATTGATATTGGGCCACAACTGTCTGACCAGGTCGTTCAGGAACTCTGTCAACTTTAGAGGCCGGGTTCCCAAGAAATGATGTCCATCACATGCTCGTACATACCCACTGATTCGCCCCCTCCTTCAGCAGTCAGCTTTTCGACAAGTCCGGACATGATTGCTGCAATCGTGGTATTTTCGAGAATATTTTCACGGTGAGGCTCTTTAACTTGAACTTGCAAGTCAATACTATGCTGTGTAGGAGAAAGATGAACGCGCTGCCTCGCAGCAAGGAAGCAAACAACAACTGACGATGAGTTGGCACATGACGTCACCGGTCTTGGTGCAGACCATTCCGCCCGATATCTGTTGCCGCTCTAATTTCTCTCGTTTGTCTCGTATCCTGAAGTCAGAGCTCGAGCAATCAATCATGAAGCAGACCTCCTTGTTGACGTTCTCCAGTGGGAGCATTTGAGTTAGAATCAGGTTCTGTCCTGAATAGTATAATATGTACTTCAGTAACTAGAAACACCAGTATCACAGTTTACTAGTCACCTTGTCATCACTTCCCTGCCGCAGGACCGCACTGTCGACCCGTCTTCCCTCGTCGTCCTGCTCGGCAACCTCCAGGACGGGGAACTGCGCGGGCATGATGCGACGCGGTGTTGAGCCGGGCACGACGCTATACTTTGAGAAATCCGTCACACCTTTCTTACGCAGAAAGTCTTCATCTAGGTCGAGTAGGCCGTTGACCTCCTCGGCGGGAGATTGGAGCATGGCAAGGATAGCGTCAGAGTAGATTGTCTGTTGTGGCGAGAAGGAAGAACATTGTTAGATTCTGCCATGCTGTGATATGATACACTGACAAATAGTCGAGAAAGAAACTTACAGGTTTTCTTAGATCCTTGAAAAAGTCTGGCTCGCGATCCACTGAGCGTTGGGTCGCTGCTGATTCAATGGACTGGTGTAGTCACACACATAAAGTCAGTCAAGCTCTTCTTTTTTGACAGCAGCCGGTGTGTGATCCGAGGTGCAAAACAGTGATAGCAACGGCAGACATACCACGGCAGGCCAAATGCTCGTAATGGCCATTTCTTTCCGCCCCTGTCTCACAAAGTCCATGGCGAGGCCTTTGGTCAAGACACTCATGCCCACCTTGCCCATAGCGTAGGCGGTCTTTCCCCGGAAGAAGCGTGAATATATGGGCGGAGACACCACGATGATGCGTCCCTTCCAGCCCTGCTTTCCAAAATGAGGCAGCGCCGCTGATACCGCCGCGTACAGGCCTTGCGGATTGACTTGCTGAAGCAGCATGAAGCGCTTGACCGGGGTGGTCTCCACCGCTGACCACCAAATCGCCCCAGAGTTGTAGATCAGCACGTCTAGGCGGCCCAAGCGGCGTGCGACCTCGTCGACCAAGTCTTTGACGTTGTCCACATCCCGCACGTCGACAGGTAAGGCGAGTGCGGAACCACCAGCCTCAGTGATCTCCCGGGCTACGGTGTTGATGGTCGACGCTGGTGAGTTCGGGTCGGGCGGGAACGAAGATGCTGGTATGGCGCTAGCATCCGACGTGGTTTTGGCCGCGACGACAACTGTAGCATTTTGGGTTAGGAGGATTGAATGTCTAGACAGATGTACAACGGCGGTGGTACGGTCTGCCCGTGAATGGATATATGCATTACGTACCGAAGTAGCCATGTTGTGCGAGGTCGATGGCAACTTGCCGGCCGATGCCCCTGGACGCGCCGATAATGAGGCAGACCTCCTTGTTGTCGGGGTTCATCTTGAAATATCTCTCTGATCTTTCTCGAGAGTTGGTCCAGCTAGCAGAGAGTCTTGCGAGGTTCAACTAGCGAAAAACACGTCTATATAAGCCATCAGGTATGGCCGTAGATGATGAGTGAGCGTGGGTGGATCACTAATAATATTTCCCCAGATGCAACTGTTGGTCAGGGATCGCAGCCTGATGAGCCTCGGCTAGGCGTCGACAGCGTCTCGATTACCTCAATGCCAAGACGGGGATGAACCTGAGCCTTGGCAGGGGTAGAATTTCACGGCGGTACGTGCGAGGCTACAGACACATAACGTCTTTTTGCTCAAGAATCTATTACTCTCGCAGATCTAGATGGACTCTCCTGCGTCTCCTGATCCTATGTTGCGTGACTTTAAATACAACAGGGCTCCTTCCACAAACCTTGTGGCCACACTATCCTGCACACTGCACCACGAGTGACGAGAAACCTCGTGGAAATGTTGCCATGTCAGTCTCGATACCTCTCCGCAGGTGGTCGATCAAACGTCTGCAACGCACACCTTATATCCAAGAGTGAGCACATGCGAGACCCGACAGAGTAAACTCTCGTTTGCTTGTTGAAGCAGACTGCGAACACCATGTCCAGGAACCTCCGAGTCTCGTCTGAGTGAGTATGATTCTTGAAGGTCCCCAGAAGGTCCTCACTAGGCAGGTCCTATTCCCCACCACAGCGAGCAAAGCCTTCTCCCAAGCCAGGATATTATATATATGTACTCGAAGACCACCGCTATGTCAGTGCTGCCCAGTGCTCTCATAGACCTGACCACGCATCGTGCATCGTACTACCGTTTTTTGTCACAGCTCCCGTCTGTCGAACGACCCTTGGGAAAAATGGAGGCCGACTTTAATATTGACGACCTCTACCTATCTCCTGATAACGACGAACCTCAAGGCAGGTACGATGCTTCGTCGAATCCCATCGTTCCTCAAATGTTAAGCCCGAGCTCCGCGAGGGCGTACCTGGCTGCTCTGGGCATATCCTTTCCCGAAGATGGGGAAATCGCGACAGATCCCCATTCACCCAGAGTGGATTTCTCGGAAGTGGCGAGTATTACTCGAGGATTTGATGCCTCGGCGGATCCCACCTGGCCCTTCGTCGACGACGGACTAGTATCCAGCTCAAATGATGGTGATGACAGTTCCATCTCCCACGAGGGATCACCCAGATTGGGCAATCCTCGACGTCTCGGCCAATTTGGAGATGCACCACCAGCCCACTACATAGGGAATAACGACGCTGTGTTCTCCGACGAAGAACCTTACGACGCCGGCGCCAGCGCTCCCAACTACAGAGCCGCTTCACGAGACCTCTGTCTCGTCATCATCACCGACCTCCAACCCGAACACGGCAACGCCTACGCGCCAAAAAGGGAATACGTCACGCTACTCGAATTCAAGCTGGACAGACCCTTCACCAGACACCACATCAATCTGCCGCATGCTTCGCTCACTGTTCATCTAAGCTGGGACCACGTTGCGTGGAAGCCACAATATCAGGTCCGCCGGTCGTGGCAGGTGCCAGGCCACATGCACGAGGTACTGGTCATCCATCACAACCTTGTCGACACGCCTTGTATGGGTCCGTGTGCTCGGCGGTGTTTTCCCTTGGACTCCGAGGTTCAAGAATGGGTGGACGACAACCTGCGTCCTCTGAACGGGCATGGTGACGAAGAGGTTGTTCTTGAGCAAGTCAGTGGTGTAATGCGGAGAGGTTGAATTTGAGCAGCAGTCGGAAGAACTAGTGCTACGAAACGGGACAGTCCAGCACCACTTGGAAGTTTCTCACAGGAAAATTGGTGTACAAATATCTGGTATTATTGGATGTTGCACTGTTATTGGCAATAGTCATCCTCACGCTCATGAAGATAGAACCACCTTCTCTTTGCCTGGTGGTTTATGACTCTTCGTACAGCTTTAGTATCAGAGTGCTATTCCTTTATTTTCTTCTTCTGGAACAAGCCTACAGCACGCGCGCGTCAGTTAGTCCTTTAACCAGATTCAACCCCCCCTCCGAGTAAACTCCAAAATTTGAGAATGGCGAAAATCAACAATGAATGACTTGGAACGAAATGTGACGACAGGGAATGGTGTTGAACGTACCAGGAATCTCTGGCATCCACGAATCGCGCCTGCTGGTGAAAAACTCGCCCTTTGGCGGCAGATCGGTCGGGCGGTCGAGGGTGCCGTAGAAGACGTAGACGAAGTCGCCCGCGTTGGCCTGGGGGGTGGCCAGATTTTGTTCTCGCGTTAATAAACCATGACATACCAACACTCGATGCTCGATGCTCGACGCTCACAAGAACAAAGACGATTGTCCACTCACCCCATACTCCAACAACCCACTACCACACACCTTGCAAAACTCGCGGTGCAGGACCGTCCCCGCCCCGTTGTCCGCCTCGTGGACCTGGACGGCGTCCTGGCCCTGCGTGACCCTAAAGCTGGACCGGGGGATCTTGCAGGTGATGCCGAAACTGCCGCCCGTGAACTTTTTGCAGTTGCCGCAGTGGCAGAGGGACGTGCGGGCGTCCTGGGCCGGGTCGTCCAGCCGGATCTCGTAGCGGATCTTGCCACAGTAGCAGCCGCCGGGGATGGTGTGGCTCATTTTGTCGGTGGTGTTCTTCGCTGCTGCGGCGGCTGGTCGAGGAAGAGAAAGGTCGTGCTGGAGATGGGGATGGTGATAATGATGTTCGTGATGTCGATGCTCAATCTATGACGTGGTAGACGTCGAGGTCGTCAAGACTTTGTATTTCCCTGGCGGTAGATCTGGAATGTCTGTGAGCACGTCTCAACAATCTAGCTGCAGAGGATACGAGTAGTGAAAGTTCGTGCCCTGGTGTCTTTGTCTACCTTATATTGATGCTTTGACGTCGACATGACGCCGAACGTCATTTGGTCCCTCATTCGTCATATTTCCCAATTCAGCCAGATATCCTGACCGCTCATTGGACAATATCCCTTCAGCCTCATTGGACGGAGATGCACCAAACACCAGAAAGAAATCGAGGTGTATTTCGGATTCATCACCAGGGGGTATCTATCTGATGCCTAAATGTGCTCCGTAAAAGTGACATGTCTCAATCAACGCTTGCGCAGCCAGTGCCGAACAAATCCCGCTCATGTAGGGCCCCAAGACTGTTCGTTCCTCCAGCCCAGGTATCTTTCAGTGAGTTGTAATTCCGTTCTATGACAATCATAGCTTGAATTTCTCCAGATAATCCGTTGCCGCCTTCAACGCCTCGTCGATCTTGGACTGCTCTGTCCCTGTGCCGATGGCAACAGGTTCCTTTCCCCCAGCCTTGCCGCCGACAAGCTTCGACACTGTTGACGACCACTCGGGGGATTTCATGCCGGCCTTGGTGCCATTCTGTGGGATCAGTGTCAGCTAACTGGCTCCTATGTTGTTTGTGGAAAGGGAACTTACCTGACTGACAAAACATCCATGGTAGACCTTGCCTTCGGGATCTTTCTCATCCGCCACCATAATGTACACACTCTTGTCCTTCATCTTAGTCTGGACATGTTTGACCACATCTGGCACAAGTTTGGGATTCCCTCCAATCGGTAGCCTCAGCACCGCCGCTTGAGCATTGGGGGACTTCTCAAAATACTCTGTTATCGTGTCGATGGCTTTCTTCGTCTCCTCCTTCTGCAATTTCTTCTGCTGATCGAGGATCTCTTTGCTGATTTTCGAGAAGCGGTCTCGGAATTGTGATTTTTTCACCGCCGATATCGACAAGTTATTGAGTTCGAGCTGGATGGCCTTCGCTTCATGTTCCTTCGGCGTCCCGGATGGCATTTTCTCAAGCTTGTCCAGTTTCGCAGAGAAATCATCCGCCACGCGCTGAACTTCATGAGCGTCCTCTCCGGTGACAGCGATGATTCTCCGAATGCCTTTGGCGATGCCGCTTTCTTCGAGGATAACAAGGTCCTTGATATCGCCCGTGCTTCTGACGTGGGTGCCACCGCAGAATTCGATGCTGACCGTTTTCCATTTGTCGTCCTTGACATTGTTTAGAATATCATCAACTTCGACACCCACCGACACAACCCGAACGGGATCAGGGTACGTTTCGCCAAAGACGGCCCTGACACCTGAAATCTCACGGGCAATGACCAAAGGCACATCCTTGGCATATACGGGGCAATTCTGCCTGATATACTCTGTCGATATGTCTTCGATCTTCTGCAAATCTGCGTCTGAGACACCTGATTTGTGGCTGAAATCAAATCTCAACTTTTCCTGGGCCACTAACGAGCCCTTCTGTTCCACTCCATCGCCGAGGACTTCCCTTAGCGCAAAGTTGAGAATGTGTGTGCCTGTATGGTTGTTCCGTATGGGCCATCGTCTCAATTCATCATACTCTGAGATTGCCTTGTCCCCCACCGAGAAGTGACCGTACTTCATGTAGCCTGTGTGTAACACGTAGCCTGCATAAAGCTGGACATTCTCCACCTCCAGTTCGGCCTGTCCATCAATGACGATCCGGCCGGTGTCGTACTCCTGACCACCCTGTTCCGCGTAGAAGCAGGTTCGGTCAAGAATAATACCGACCTGATCGTCTTCGGGGATATTTTTGGTGTCGGAATGGAACTGCTTTGCGTGATATATCGCCTGGATTGTGCTGGTGATATTGTCCCTGCCGTATTTGGCGCTGTCGTCTGTTTTTGTCACACCGGGCATTTTCTCTAGCTGGCCCAGATCATGCACATCGAGCTTGAGGACATCACTGGCCGCTTTCTTCTGCCCCTTGCTGGCCTCCTTGGCGGCCAATCTCGCGGCCTCGAATTCATTGTCGTCAATAGAGAGATTTCGTTCTTCAGCCATGAGCCGAGTCAGATCAACAGGGAATCCGAAAGTGTCGTATAATCGCCAGACATCGGCACCGTGTAGTTTTTTGAGGCCTTGAACCTGGCTCTTCTGCGCATACACTTCGAACTGCCGTTCCCCACGGTCCAAGGTCTTTGCA